CTTTTAAACCCGCTTTCAACTGCCACTTGGCTAGTAAATTTACGAACGTAATAATATTATTTTCAGAATTGATAATATTATTGTCAGAAATATGTAAATTCTAAAATTTACTAGAAATGAGTTTTATCGTGTAAATTCCAATAAATATAATAAAAGACAATTTTTAAAATACCCTGAAAAGCAAATAATATCTTAATTAGTTTAAGTTAAACGTATTATCAAGTAATCGAAGAATCGTTAAGCTTATCCTCACATAAATTGTTTTGCATCATAATTCATTGAAAAGACAGATAACTATACTGATAACACGGAAACACATAAACAAATGTCAACAAGGTTCTTTGACCGAACATTTTATGTACTATGTATGTACTTTAATGAAGGAGTTTGAATATTCTTATAATATTCCTAGCGACTCACCCTCGCTTCGCTCGGGTTCGTCCCTACTTTCGTTTTAACGATTTCTTAAAGATGAAATATTTTCCCGCAGTAAAAAGTATCCTATATGTTGACCCGGATAACCAGCTATCACCAAACCAAATTTCATCATAATCTGTCCAGTAGTTTCCTCGTCATGCGGTAACAGACAGACAGACAAAAATTCTAAAAACTATAGATTCGGCCTCTGTATCGATAATAATGGTTATTTCAATAATATTTTCCAAAAAATATTTAATGTACAGATTCGGCCTAGATACAATTTTATTATATGTATAGATCACTGACAATATATAGGATAAGCGGATAGGCAATTGTAGTATGCCTTGATATAGACTTAGCGTGCAATGGAGATGTAAATTCTGACTTATTGGAACTTAAAGTAGAGTAAATGATGTCGTAAACAAAAACGATAAAGTAGTTCGATTTTAAAATACTTTTGTGGTCATACGCAGCTACGAATGTCAAAGGTGACATGATACGAAGCCAGGCAGGTGTAAAGCTTGCAGCTGCCCATAAGTTTTGTTTTTCTCAATCAATTTAGTAACAATGTTTTGAATTGCAATACAAGTAATGACATCGTTTAAGACGGGGAAAGAAACAACGAGAAGATATTACATTATTGAACGTTTTGTTTTTATTAAGACTTGGATTATTTAAAAAGAAATCTCGCAAAGAAGTATAGTTTTAATAAATTATTATTATTTAAAGTGACAGGATTTCACGCAAGCTACGTAATGAAGACATGCAGTGTTAACTTACTAGGCAGTGCCGGCGACGCGTTGGCGAAACAAAAAGGCTACTGCTGCTGGCCTCATCTCGAATGAAAAGTTTCGTATTACACTACTGTGACAAAATCGCGCACATTTTACCGGTAATATTAATTTTATATGGGAAGCTACATTGTAGTGGTGGTAGAAATATTGTGCAACACAACATTAATAATTGAGATGACAACTTGTTCTTAAATAAAAAAAAAAGTATATGTGTACTTATGTAAATACGCATGTAAGAAGTTATACCTTTTTTTTGGCGTAATAGAACAAAAATAGCTAAATATTTCATCCCGTCGGTCAACTCACTGTTTGTAAAAGGAATGCAGCTAACTTCATCATGTCGCTTTCAGCTAACTTCATAATGTCGCTTTTTGGCTGTCGGTGTGCGCGCGCATCGTAAAAATTTTACTCTTATATTTTCTCCAAACGTGCCAAAAGATGTATAACTTCAATAAAATTTGATAACTTCAAGGTTGTCAGTTATTGCATTCTAAACATTTTCACGATATAAAAAAACCTTTCCAACACTATGTATTAAAATTTCTTTCAATTTAATTTACTTTTTCATGATATGAGTATGTAATTTTTTTGTATGAACGTTTTACGAAAGATATTGTTCAAACTAAAAATTTTACAGGAAAAAGTAAAAAAACATATTGTTAAAACTGTGAACGCACTGGTTTTGTATAACGTACAAAATTTTCTACAATTTAAGCTTACAGTGGGTGTATACACCTGAATCGAGACCTATTATATTATGTAGAGAATAAAAGACGTGTACATATTATTAATGCCCATTTGATTTTTATGGCTCAACGGATTCTTTCACGGCTATCTATCAGATATTTCATAGGAAATGTTTTATCGCCTAACAGATCTGTGATTTGATAGGATTTATAGGCTTTATAGCGTGAGAAAAACATTATATCTAATATTAATTATTCAAAGGTGTTCAAATTGGTACAGTTACAGAAAAAACTAAGTAATTCAAAATTGAACAAAATATTCTTGTGGGTTGTTTCAATTATATTTATTTCTCTTTAAGGTTTTTTACAAGCAAACAATTTTAAATAGCTGCACCAACAACTCTTACTTCATAGACAAACTATTTGTGAGATATTATAGCAAAGTTTCCTAGATAGGTATAGAATTACAGAGCCATCTAGATACCTTATAAATCCAACATGTCACAGAATCTAGTACTTGTTATCAAGGCTATTTACATTCCTCTTATAGAAGGCAATCGTATGACTCTTTCGATATAAATTCACTTGATTTTCTAATCTCTAAGATAGTATACTTACATGTACCTACTGAAGTGTTTTGGAAATTAACTCTAAAAGCTTGATAAACACATTGGTGCAGTTGTAAACCCTTCAGCTAAAATTCACATTTACATTTAATGGAAAAGAAATATTACTCATTAATACAAAGTATATCTACTCAATTCAATATAGAAAAAATAACGTAAAAATTAAGTACTTACCTACTAAAATATATTTTAAACCGTCCTACTCCATCGCTTTCGTAAATTCGAGATGACAAAGACGTGCATGTTTAATTCTTACTTTATGCCCGATCAAATAATGGTTTATGATGAGACACGCGTCAAAACCCCCACTAAAAATATAAATAAACGCAAGTTGAACGACCATCTCGAGCAAGATGACTCAGGTAGACCTTACCGGACCTTGGTCCTAAGTTATATTTCGCTCGGTAATCATCGGAAATTGTTCTGTAGACCGCATTCTGCTTTTTACGTCGTTAATTACTTACTAACATAGTAATAAAACACATAGTAATTTCTTGGTTCTGATTTAAACATACATAAAACGATCTACACCAAGTTAACATGACTTTGAATTATAATAAATAAAAAATAAATTTCTTATTAAATCGATAATTAAACTAAAAATCTATATAAAACACGGACTCGTTTGATAAAAATTAGTAAATCAAACGATAGTAAAAGAACTAGTATTTCAAGTTCAATAGACATATATGTACTATTTGTCAAAATTAATTCCCTTTAAAGCCTGTCTGTTATTCTGTTATCTCCATTAATTGAACACTAGCATACATTAAAAAACGAGTATTTTTAGAAAAACATCCATGATTTACTTTAAAATTGGAGTAAGATAAGTAAAAGGAGTAGAGAATCACGTAATCGAACTAAATAACACAGAATTCACCGTCCAAACACATGCTCTAAAAACATACGGCATGTTATATTTATTAGCTACAATTCTGTATATTTACTTCTTTGAATTAAAGTTTTATTTGTTTTCACGTTTGTTGTATTAAAATGTTTTATGAATATGAAATGTGTAAATAAATAAAAAGCATCACATAATATGTTCATTTACAATAAGAAATAATTGTAGGTAAAATATATCATATTATTATGTACAACGTGTCTATGTAAAAGAAGTAAGTAATAAACTTCATGTAATGGAAATTTAAGTAAGTCTTATTAACATTATATGTATACTGCGGCAGTAAAAAAACCGTTCCCAAAGCGAATCACGTCTACTGCATTTCCCGGGCTCGTCGGGGCATGCATCGGGCCAATGCGCCCGCGCACGCTTCTAATGACAGGGAGGGGGGTGCGACCGGTTGAGCCGCCGTGAGGTATGTAGCTAGCTTTATAAGCCACGATACGTAGTGGTCAATATGAAATGAAATTAAATAAAAAGTAATATTTTGATTCTTTTTATATTTTTCTGTTTTGATGTTTGATAGAATATAATTAATATGGTAATGAATAAAACATGTAGCTTTGTATATGTATATGTAATGCGTAACATATGTACTAGATAATAATCTTGACTTTCCGTAAAAAAAAGTATTTGTACAGATATAAAAGTGAATGCAATAAAAATCACAGCGCTCTAAACATCCGTTATATATTTCAGCTTATAAGCCATAGCTTTACAATAACCTTAAAAAAACTGGATAAGCATTAATGCAGAATAATATCCCACCATCTGCACGCGACAAAGCGTGTTCGCTTCTTTAACGAGCAGTTAATGATCCTCACAGTTCGTGTAAACGTCTACAAGTCAACAACCACATAGAAAATTTTCTACCGCAACATTTTGATGGCTTTCCGCCAAAAAATACCAATTCAATACATGGAATTACTTTTGACAAATATATCAAATAAATGGAATAGTTTTGTTACAACTATTCTTAACTTTAAAGTTAAAATGAGCTTTTTTGACACTATTCTTTGAAATTGTATTTATACGATTTCAAGTGAAATAAAATATTAATAATGTAATTAAACCTAAAATTAATTAATCGTAACCTACTTCATTTATTATTCATACGAAACAAAAATACTAACTTAAGATTAAAGTGGATTAATTTAATCAAATTATTAAATGTAGAAAAATTAATGGCCCATAAGGATGAACGTACGTTGTTACCTTTTTTATATGATTTTAGGATCACAGTAAATTAAACTTCAATAGTTTATAAAAAGATTTTTTTTTAAGTAAACATATATTTAAACAATAAGTAATTAATCATTTATTAAATATACATATTACACATAAGTCTTTAATAATACGTTTTTCAAGTATAATACTTATAAAACTCTATCATGAATTTCATAAATTTGTAAAATTATTTTAAAGTAGAAAACGAAAAAAATATTTTTTTCTTCTAACTAAAAAATGTGAAATCACATATCAGATGGTTACATACAGCAGCGCTGCCAAGAACTCGTTCGCCCCCCGCCGTGCCCGGTTAGAACTCCTAACTTTTTTATTTTACGGCTCACCCTTCATGGCTTAGCGCGAACCCACTACCAACAAAACCCATTCTTCGTTTTGTACTCAGAGTCACTTGTTTAACTTTCGCGCCAGTTATGAACTGGTGTTTAGGAAAACGAAGTAAATGTCGGAATTGGTCGATATCGTCTAGTCTACGTTTAGGTATTAGACAAAGAGCTAACCCGTTATGGAAAAGTTTTAGAAAATATATTATTGATTTTTATATAAGTTTTTTTTTAAATTCATGTGTTAATATTAATAGCATAATTATTAATACATGAATAGATTAAATTATCATTTGCTAAAAATACTTATTTTATTATATTTAACAATATATAAATTTACACATATATATAAAAAATTGTAACTAAGCCGAATTTGTACATTAAATATTTTTTGGAAAATCTCATTGAAATAGTCATTATTATCGATACAGAGGCCAAGTCTATAGTTTTTAGAATTTTTGTCTGTCTGTTACCGCATGACAGAAAAACCACTGGAGGGATTTTGATGAAATTTGGTATGGTGATAGCTTATTATCCGGGTCAACATATATGATATTTTTTACCGCGGGAAAATATCTCATTTCTGAGAAAACATACAAAAACTGCAATGTAAGTGTATACTAATATGTAAAACCTAAGAATTTGGTTTTTAGTCATCTGAATGCGGGCGAAGCCGCAGGCAGTTACTACTTAGAATAATATAGCAAAATATTTTTCCAGTTCAGCACATATTTATATTAATTATATTATATAATTCATTAATATAAATATGTGCTGAACTGGAAAAATACTTAGTAATTATATAATTTATATATATTAATATAGGTAATAATAAGGTGTATTGTTACATTTTAGGTACTCAACTATTGATAAAAATGTATGGATAAGTATGTTATGATAAGCAGTGCAAATGTTAGTGAAGTAATGATTCCTAAACTGAAGAAGACCACATTTTCTATAGTGTGGTTTTTAAATATGTAGGTGAAATATTGCAGGTTATCATTGATTTTATTTCAAAAATATCATAATAATAATACTATATTAGTATATTATAGAGAAACTAATTTTTCATTTAGTATGATGGTAACCTCCAATTTCAAAAGCCACAACTGAGTTGATCAAGTATACTCTTATCATATAGGCATTGAACAAGTAGATAAGAACTTATAATTGCCATTTAAAGTGTCTCTTAATAATTCAATTAGGTTAAAAATTTTCAAATTGTTAATAGTTAATATGAAAATAGTATAATAAGTATAAAAATAGTTTTCATATTATAATTCTAGCTTCAGATGAGAGTAGAAATTCTTGATATATAATTAAATTATATATTTCCTAAAATAAAGTTTCGAGTCGAATCTGTACATTAAATATTTTTTTGGTGAATCTTATTGAAATAGTCATTATTATCAAAGCAGAGTCTATGTCTGTCTGTCCGGGAATGCATCATGAGAAAACCACTGGACAGATTATTGAAATAGTCATTATTATCAAAGCAGAGTCTATGTCTGTCTGTCCGGGAGTGCATCATGAGAAAACCACTGGACAGATTTTGATGAAATGTGGTATGATGATAGCTGGTTATCTGGATCAACATACAGTATACTTTTTATTGCGGGAAAATATCTCATTTTACATAATATTATAACTGATATAACAATTGTTCCTAAGTGAATCATGTATTAAAAAATATCTATTTTCTGTCTCTGGCAAAGTGTATAAATAATCATGTAAATTTTTACTGTGTGAAGAACAAACTATCAACCTCACATTCACATGTATACTACCACTAAGGTTTGTAACAAAGAAAAGTAATTTTACTAAATATTTAATAGCAACAATAACATAATATACAGTATACCTTGCAGTTTTTTTAAAAAGCTTAGTTAAAATAAAAATTATAAATAACATCAGATGAACTACACCCACACCCAAACCACGCCTAGCAGTTTATTATCAAGCCATAATGGGTGACCCACATATGCCCACTTCAGAAATTATCTAATGTGGTATCAGTTCAACGTGACTGGAACTTACTTTTAGTGTTATTACTTGCTATTTAATACAAATATGTGTATATTTTTATAATATATCTTAGAATGATAAAGCTCTGTGTAAGTATAAGAAGACTAAAGAAAATAATTTTGTATTAGGTATTTGAGATAACGCTATTGAAGGAGGTGGCTAATTCTAAAAAAAAAGCTCTAAGGCAGAGAATTAGACACACTAAAATGGTATTAAAGACAAAATTTATTAATAAAATTGAAATTCAAAAACTTATTTTTCCAGAAAGTTTGATTTTGATTTTAAATAAATTTGAAATAATTATAATATATGAAAACATATTAAGTAATTTCAGGTTCTCTAATTATTCTTAATGTTTCTTTATCATCTTCTATTATTCAAAGAGATAGAATGTATAATATGTAAAAAATTAATTTATTCATATCATTGCATGCATTTTGATAGAGATTGTGATATCATCGCAGCAATTTTTATATACAAAACTTTTGTGAGTGTATGTGTTGGTTACTTCTAGCAGATAGAAGAGCTAAATCAAAAAATAGTTTTATATAAAAAGTCATTTTTCCTATATTTCAAATCTCCAAATCACAAGAAATAGTTTTGCACTTTTAGAGTAAAATTTGAATACAATATAACGAACCACCAAATACTAAATAAAAATATAAAAAGAAGGGTTTTTAAGAGGTACAATATGTGGTTTATAATTTAAAGAATAGTACAGTAATTACATTACAAAGTGGTTAATTATAAAATATTATACATACACCACTTAATATGAACAATAGAAAACAATTAATTTGCTAATCACATACAAAATTAAATAATATTAAAAAAAAATGATATTTTATATATAATTTATACAACCATTCAGATTAAAATTTGGTTTTCATTGTCAGATTACATTATAATATTCTTAAGCCTGATATCATCTTTGCCAAAGACAAAGAGATAATTTTTTATCATATCAACTTGTTTACGTCATACTTTGATAATGACCAGTCTGTAAATGAAGTCAAGTTCAAAAAGAACACCTTGAAATGAAAAATAGTTACACAAACCTAGTAACCAATGTATTGTATTTAGTGTATTTTTATAATATTTATATCAATAAGGTTTTTATGATTCAATATCACAAAGTAGGTATATGGATATCAGTTATTAAGTTAACAAGTAGAACCATGAAGGCTGTAAATATATCTTAGCAAAAAAATAAAAGGTAGTAAAAAAAATAATCGTACAATTATTCAGAATTTTATAAATTTATATTTCTTATCTAATGGTCTTGTCTTAACTGATTAAATGTGTAGTGTCGAAAACCATAAGACGAGTGTATTTTGGCAGCTAATTAAGAATTATGTTACGGTTGAGGAAACACGATAAAAATCGTTGCCTTTTATGTGAATAAATTTATAATTTTGATTTTCCATAGAATGTTAAGCACTAATAACAAATAAATTACGTACAATTTGTTAATATTACAGCTAAGCAAAGCTTACGAGGGCATTCAACCGAATAGGCCTAGCAACACGAGAAACTCACGATGGCCATGACATCGAAATCAGTACAACAGACTGCGGTCACTAGAGCATTGACTTTTAAGATTTTGACACAATCAAAACAAATGAATAATAATTATTAATGAAAACATAAACATTCTACTAACCTGTCGGAAGACTCGGAACTGTCGTATCGGTCGAAACAACGCTTCTTCCTGTCGTCGCCATCGTCGAAGCTCGAGCCGGGTGTTTTTCGGGAATCTGATGTTGCTGTCGCCACGGAACGATCGGCGACCACGCCGCGCATCTCACTATTTTCACACGATTCACTCCCTTCGAGTTCGGTATAGAACGACAACTTTAATCTACCACCTTCGAAAGTGTCTCCACTGCACTTTTTTGAGTCACGATATGACAGGTCGGCCACGGAAAAAGTTAAATCGTTCATTTCATCAGGGCCGGCACGGTAATCGGGCGACCCATCCGCCATCTTTGAGCGCGCGACTGTTTTGTCGCGAGTTGCCCGCGCGCGCCGCTCGCCGCATGGGCGCTGGCGTCGGCGCGGCCGCGGGGCAGGCGCGTGACGTCACGGCGGCTGCGCGCAGCGGGAGGCAGGCCGCGGTGACGTCGCGCTCCGCCCCGTGCATGTGCAGGCCGCCGTCATTGGCCGCGAGTTACGCAACGAGCCTATTCAAACACGGAAGGGAGCGTAGGACTCGACCCATAGGGCCCATCCCAGCCCTAAACGTAACAATAATGTAATGACCGGCCGCACAAACACATACATACACACGCTAAGAAACAAGTGCATCGAAATTAATGACACATTTCAACCCCCTAATATTTAGAGTCTTTATTTGGAGGAAAACAAAACATGCTGTTTGACGACGCTAATTTAATAACGTGTCAGCATAAAAACGTAATACTTCGACGTGGTTAAACTTGAATCATTAGCATTTACAGTTTTAGATTTACACTTGTGTTTGTAGAAATATGAATCCACGATTTTTTTATAAAAACAAGTTAGTACTAAATAGAATATGTTTTCTTGATAGCAAGGTATAGATATATACAGGAATACATTATATTATAGTCATTATATACGACCGCAAGGTGATCTTACGATATTATGTACCAGCTTACCACACAACAGCTGTTGCGTTGTAAGTATTACAATAACTAATAATAAATAATGAGTAGTTAGTATAGAATCGACATAAATAATTGCACAATTTTAAAAATTCAATAAGAGTGCAATATTTTCGAATATGTACCTACTTTAAAATATTTTTTTAGATTTTTATCTCACGAGGTTGGTAGGAAGTAGGAATGTCCACAATAACTGTTTGCTTTATCATAAGGGTCTACCGATATTCCATGGTTTTAAAATATATATTTTTTCATTATTTGGAATACATATATTATGTATTAGGTATATATATTATGTATGTTACATATATATTATGTATGTTATATATATTATATATTAAGGTAATAGGATTGAATAAATGTAAATGGTCTGTTTATTAAAAATTTAACTTAGTTTATAACGATATGTAAGTAGGTACTTCCTTCATATTAATATAGAACATAGGTATATATCTGGATTTGCAACATATCACCTACAACTTGTATACCTACCATTAGTTTTCTAGGGCTGCCACCCAAAAAATATATAAAGGTAAATAAAATTATGTCTAAAGGCCCTTTTTCCAGTCATATTACCTGTCACACTGTAACTTATGCTTTTTTACGTTTATTTTAATATAGCTATTGTATACCTAGATCCGAATAAAAAATCTTATTTATCGCTGTATTAATTTTCTTTTTCACTTCTATCTCTACAGGAACGCTTACATGCATTAATAAAATAAAAAATAAGTAATTTTAAATTTCTTCTATATAGGTACAAGCTGAGGGGGCCTAAAAGTGCAGTTTCATCGAGCAAAAATTTGTAACCCTAATTCAGAGCCTGTCACTTTCAGTATGTTTTTATAATAGACGTTTCTCTCATTCGCTCTTGGTACTAAATATCTACGTAAGAGCGAGACAGAAATAAAGCTATAATTTTCGATAGCTAGAAAATCCATTCAAAACGTTTTTTTGAGAATAACCTTAAATATAATACTTTCTTAGAAATATAATAATTATTAGAGATATTAGAAATAATAAATATAAACATAACAGACAGGCAGATGTAGTAAGTTCATACTGTGTAGATCAAAATGACAGCTTATCAGATTAATATTTTTCATTTGTAAAAGTATATTTTAATAGTGTTGCTTAGTAAGTTGTTTTTAAATAATAGCAAACTAAATTAAAATGATTATCCGTAATTAATTTTAACTTTTTTAAATTACACATAGAACAATTATATGGCTTTAATAATTAATACTATATTTTTATATTTTTATTTATGGTTATAAATATAATAATGGCAACACTAAATATAGATTACTAATTAATATTTTTAAAATTGTAATAATTATAAAAATAATAACAAAAATTAAATAAATAATTTTCCATATTCAATTATAATTAAAATTATAAAAAATGTTTAAAGTTAAAAATATTGTAATGTAATTGGTGCAATTTTCATTTTGTTAATTGTGGGTAGGCTGTCTGTAACAACTATATCTTTAAGACATGTAACACCTCAGTCTCTCCCGTGACCATGGATGCTGTAAAGCATTCGAAACGTCGGGAACCAAAAATCAAAATAAATCCGCGAAATAATCCGAAAAGATAGTTTTATTTAATAATTAACCTTAAATATAATAATAATAAAAGTATTTTATTCTCATATTATATATATCATATTCATCGCACAGTATATGCCATTTTATTTAATATTATCTACACTATAAGTATTACAAAGAGGAAAGATTTGTATTTTTGTATGTTTGTAACGAATAAACTCGAAAACTACTGGATCGATTTAGGTAAATAAAATTTGGTGAGAAGATAGTTTGAGACCCTGGGAAGAACATGGAATACCTATTTATTTTCCTGGAAATCATCCCTTAAGGGGGTGAAAATAGTGGTGAAAGTTTGTATGGGGGAACCTAGGGACGAACCCGAACGAAGAGAGGGTGAGACACTAGTATATTAATAAATTAATATATAACGACAATGATAAATTGACTAAAAATAATTCAATTTATATTAGAAAATTTATCTCTTGAAAGTTAACAAAATATTATGGAGATCACTTTTTTGTCTGATGTTGGTTAATATATTATACCTAATATAAATTATATTATTGTAATACGTAAAATATAAAATACACACATTATTATTTTGTCGATTCCTAAACGACATGAACGTTCTCCAGTTATAGAAATAATATTTAGATATATTTTATACAAATATGACAGATTTTAAATGTAGAATCAATAGTATACGGATATATATAAAAAATTACACTTACTTACTTTTTTCTGTTGTACAAAATAATTTTTACTTGCGCCATCTATTGAGAGATTTTCTAGATACTTAGTGTTAGTTACAAAGTAAGTATATTCTGTGGTGTTGCTAATTTAGCCTTTGGTGGATACCAATCCAGGGTCCTTTTGCTAATAACATTCACTAGATGTCACTACTAAAATATAATATATCAACATTAGCTGCTATTAGCTTAGATTTACACGAATATTTAAAGCAAAAATCAATCAGTGTAAAACTCGAAAAAGATAGTTAACATTGTTTGTTTTTTTAGCAATTAATTGTTTCATCCATACTTAATATTATAAATGTGAAAGTGTTTGTTTGTTTGTCCTTCTTTCACGTCGCAACGGAGTGACGGGTTGGCGTGATTTTTTGTGTGAAGGTAATTGGAGGGCTGGAGTGACATAGGCTACCTTTAACCGCGGGAGATTATCTCAATCCCCCGGGAAAACACGTTATAATACAATCCAAAAAAATATTTATGACCAGAATCACTTGAAACTTGGTATTAATGCTGTTTAATAAAATTAAATAAAGTTTGTATGAAACTACCTATTTAAAGATTTTTTATAGTTTCAGCGCGAGCGAAGCCGCGGGGTTCTGCTAGTATAATATAAATTTTGTTTCAAATTTCCAGTCAAATATTTACTGTGATTATAAATTCACTGCCATTTGTATCCTTGCAATAAAAAATATCTTTGTTCGTATAATTCGAACAATTTTTTATATAATAAAATGATAAGTAAAAGCTCACTTCATAGGTAAAATCATAAAAATAACCCACATTAAAAAATATTTTAAATTAAATTTTTACGCCCTTTTAACAACTCCAACCACGAGATTAGCCATTAAAAACGTAAAATAAAACACATATTAAATGAAAATATATTTATTTTACCTCAACACCTGCATTTGAACATATAGGTACAATGGTTACAATACATCATCTTGAAACAAAGGCACTTGTCAATGTCATACTAAAAGATTTCTCACCGTTTACTTAATTTTTCTTTAATTAGCATTCCGATTATAAGAATAAGAAGGTCAGAGCGTTTTCATATTATATGTATACATGTATTATATAGTATTTTGAATTCTATATAATATATTATATAGTATTATTTTCATATATTTGCTTTTTAATCTAATGACTGGGAATACATACAGACATACATATAACCAATAATTATAGCTTATGTTCTACCAATCTTATTCCTTTAGTTACTCTTTACCATTATACTAATCATTACAGAGTATAACTTTACATTATAAGTAGTATGTCAGAATTAATTTAAAATAACTTATTTAAATAATATAATTTAAATATATTAAAAATATTAAATTTATGCATTTTTTTTGAAGAATATGAAAATTAGTTTTAAAGTTTTACATAAATATGTGAATAAATTAAGATAAATTTTGCAGTCAACAATATTATAAAAACGGAAATTGTTAATGAGGAACAATAATTATAATACTTTGATTTTAATGCATATTTTATTTAAAGAGGTAATTTTTTTACTTTTAAAAAGATATGTTATAAAAAACAGATTTCCATACGGGTTGCCTTTTAAAGATTATTATGAAGGAAATTCGCCTTTTTCTTTTTGAGTAAAATGTTAACTGATTATATTTTTAATGTTATGTTTTTGCTCTAATCTGAACACATTATTAAAATTGAATAATTACATTACATATAAACTATATACAAAGTTTGAATAACACAATAATAAATAACAGTGTACGGAATAAAACCTAATTGTTGTTGCACCTCGAACTAAAAGAATAATAATATAGCTGGAGTAGAAGATGTCTATAGTATTATTCCCACCATTATTAAGTGCCATACAATGCTTTTGATGTTTAGGAGTAAAGAATGTATGAAACAAAAACATAGTACATATATAATATTCTATTCGGCCCTTTTTAACGTCCCACTGCTGGGCACGGGCCTCACTTCAATAGGAGACGGATCAGGCCATAGTCGACCACGCTGGCCAAGTGCGGGTTGGCGGACTTCACATGTCTTTTGAAAACTTGCTAGGTTCTCTCAGACATGCAGGTTTCCTCACGATGTTTTACTTCACCGTAAGACAAGTGGTAATCATGTTGGAAATGATATAATATAATATAGGAAATGAATAATATAGTATAGTATTTAAAATTTTATTATTTATAGTTTAAGAAATTAAAAATTAATCCTTTTGATTGACTGTAACTATTAAAATATTTAGTTTTTCTAGCAGGCTTTAATCAAATAAGCTCAAAGGTATATATTGTTATTTATTCTATTATTGCTAAATTTATTCTCATCCGGACTCGATTCAATTAGTAGTAAATTAAAATTCCAAGATTTGATTACATTGTGGTCACAAATAAAGAAATATAACTATATAAGTGGGTTTAAAATAATATAAGATTGAATTATTTTTTACGGTATTGTCAGCTTTGTTGGGTTTCCTTTATTGTTATAGACATTCCACTCCATCCATATTATTCTATTAACTTGATCATTTTACGTAAACTCTTAGTATATTTAAACTACTTGTTTCAGAAAATTACATAAAGCTATTCAAACATTTCTTAGGGCCACTTGCAGCAAATTTTGTTTTTAATATCTTCAATTCAATTCAATTTTCTTGTTAATGGCTGTAAAGCGTGCCACTTTTTACCCAACTCCCAACGAAAGAGGGTTATGTTTTTGTTAATATCTTGTACATTTTGCAGATGTCAACGTTTACTCTGTTTGATATTTACAATATTTGACAACTAAAGTAATTCAAAACATTTAAATGAAATGAAGAATTTTGGTGGAAATGGCCCTTAATGTATAATATAACATTCAATAAATAATAATAATCTCATTTAAACAACGTCAAGCACCACCACAACAATGTAAAAAAATATAATTAAATGTAAGCATGTAAAGGCAACAAAGTTAGTATGAAAGTTATGAAATAGCTATATATGAATTAATCTATTTGAGAGTTTTACAAACAATTCACATTTTCATTGTGACTTGTAATTGTTCATTAATTAAGTTAAACTCTCAGAAGAATAATAATAAATTATTGTTTTTTATTGGTGGCAGGATTCTTAGTATAGGAATGTGTTCGGTGTACAGGTAATTCGGAATGCATGTCATAACCCGTTTACTATATTAGAAGTAATATAATACTTTCTGAGATTTCGAATATTTGACATTTTAAATAAAACTGTCTTTAAAATTATTAGAATTAAAATTAACAAATATTGTAAGGTACTTTGGTGGTGAAAATCATTATTTTTTTTTTTTTATAGTGGGTAGGGAGTGTCGTAACAAGTATATAACTAAGACGTTTAAAACTTTAGTCACTCCCGTGACCATGATTGCTGTAAGGCATTCAAACGTCGGAAACCAAAAATCAAAATAAATCCGCAATAAAATCCGAAAAGATAGTTTTATTTAGAAGTAAAATATTAAATCATGTACCGGTAAATGGATTGAAAGGTATTTTGACCACTAGTTAGAAAGAAAGCGATATTTGCCAATAAGTTCTCTCGTTTCTGTAGGCCCTTTCAAGTATAGTCTATAGTTTTTTTCCTATTCTTATAATAGTTTAAAAATATCTTTAAACGAATAACAAATAACATCAATATTATCCAAAAATAAAACATTAATTAAAAAATAAAATGTTATTAAACACAACAAATAAATAGATTCAAAAGCTTAAAGCGTCACGTGTTATATTATTTTATTTTAGTTTTATATGAATTTTGACAATAATTAATTAATGATATTTAGGGGAGCATTTCAAGTCATATTCGGATTTAAATTATTTATTTTGTAAACATTATAAAAAATTATGTCCACACTGGTGTCTTTAATACGACTATCAGCATCAAATATATATCTTCTGTATTTTATGTTAGAAAAGCTATCATTATATACAGTTTGTCTGTTTGTTCGGTTGATTATTTATATATATTTTAAATCACCTACTTTGGACTATGTCATATGGACGTATACTAGCGGGGATTAAGTAATGTAATTTTCTAGTAGAAAAAACATCTTATATATGCCGCAAGTAAATTATAAAATCCGTAAAATTATAATTTCTCAAGGGTTTTCACACATAAAACCCAGAGTTTTATCAATCGTCTCATTTTCTTACAATATCACGGGACAATTTAAGGTATATTATAATGTAATTACCTTAGTTAAGAAAACAACGAAAATACTCTGGGAAATTATAATTTCTCTAGTAAAATTGTAATTTAACGTATTTTACAAGTTCCCTGCGACATATATACAATATTAAATAAAATTACGTCCATAGAGCGGTTGGCATCATACCTTCCATTGAAGTATTTCGGGGCGTTAAAGTTTCATTGCAAAGGAAATTCAACGGCATATCTACCAAATAGCCTTGAATAAGATCGATTTTCCTATTCGCGAGAACCGGGTCTTTGTGCCAGAGTGTTTCGCAGTTCTCTTCTTGATATTTTCTAAGTTCAGCAAATGTGTGGACTGAATCGTTTGGTATTGTGTGGAAAACCTGGAAATAGATTAAATATAAATAATTTAAAAAGAAAATCTAGTTTTGTTTTCTAAATTCTACAAACTTATTTACAAGGCACATTATCCCAAACGTTATTTTTGATTTATGAACACTTTGAATACTGCGCAGTGGCGTGTATAATCCTATCCTATCCTCTAAAACTGCTCCATAAAAAAAACATTTTCTAAACAAAAAAAAATACACAAACATAAATCTCTTATTAAACATCAGTCACTCTTAGAAGTGGCCTTCCACACCCCATCATAATTTATGAAAATTTTAAGTACCATGAAAAAGTTCCTATTCTAAATTTATTATCTCATAAAAAATTATTGAATGCATGTAACCTTTACTCGCGACTGAAGTAAAACTTTTTTGGAGCGGTGGCAGATACCGCAATTAAATTAAAACAAATCAAAAAATAAATATAATAATTTATATAAAATTATTATTGATAAATACTTATTTTTATAAGTAATAATGTAATTATCATTATAAAATTATTAATAATAAATTTGACTCTCACGCGACACTCATTTTTCCAATCCTCAGTCACGCCTAAAAAGTTTTATTAAAAAAAAATCTCTCAACACACACACAACTAACCTCTTCATAAACATCAGTGTTCCTCTTTGACGTGGCTTTCCACACCCCTTCATAGAACTCTCTAGAACACGGGTCATCCAGGTTAATGCCAAGTGTCTCCACATCTTCCTCCATCAGCCCCAAGTGTTCCCGGAACAGCCTCTTCCTGAGCGCGCCGGCGACGCGGCCGCAAGGGAACGGCTCACCGTTCAAAGTGCCGTCATCGAACTGTTCATCCTTTGAAAAGGGTTAAATATTTTACTTTATCCGCCATCTTATTTTTAACGTACGTTTCAATTTTTTTGAGCGGAACTCATTCTTACTTTATCCGCCATCTTATTTTTAACGTACGTTTCAATTTTTTTGAGCGGAACTCATTCTTTTTCTAAAATAAAAGTAGCCCCGTCAAAATCAGTCCAGCCGTTTCAGAGATTATCCGGAACAAACAGACAGACAAAAATTTTAAAAATTGCGTTTTTCTTATATATAGAGTATATAATTTCATATGTATTTAGTACAACGCTGTTATTTTGACATTACAAACAGACACTTCAATTTTATTTATTTGTATAGAAGTAATATAGACTAACCAATTTTCCACCAACCTGTATGAACACAGCGATCTCCGAGTCCCGAGTCCCAATCATAGACCTATCATTGATATTAGCGGACCCACATATGATGTATCTATCGTCGGCCACCAGGAGCTTAGAGTGCACGTACACGAGCTCGGTCACCGGCTCGCCGTCCAGTATAGAGTGAGCTCTCAGACCGTGGAACGTTATATACTGGGAGGGGTCGGGCACACCGGCCTCGTATAGACGGGTTAGAATTGCTTCTTTACTCCTGGAATGATGAGGTATAGGTAAATAATAATTCTATTTTTGAGTTTAGCTTATTTGATTTATGGGGTTGATTAATAAATTAATAATTATTTTGATTATTGTACAATTATATTAAATTATAACCACTAACCTGCTGATACTCTGGTAGTTCCAATGCGTGACGGCGTGCAGCGAGGTGCCCGAGGGCGCGCCCACCTCGCCCTCGAAGCCCGGCAGCAGCGGCATCACTATGAACACTCGGAACGTCTCTTTTGATCTGAACGCTTTCATTATACGATTGAATAACGCTTCGCCTATCTGGAAATAAATATGTATATTACAAACATAAAACACACACACACACTTTTAACTGGCTATTCATTATGTGAATCAAATAAGCCCAGGTTTGAAGAATTCAGTAGCCATTAAAGACTTTCAATCTACCTTCTGAGTCTACCATTAAACTGACTCGATGGCATTAAATATACATATTATTTATTGTTAAAAATGACTACTGGCTAACGGCTCAAAATATTAGGAAAATTAGGACGGAGATAGTTTATATACTAATAAAATACATAAATAAAACTATTTTATTTGGACATATTAACCATGTGAGCGGAAATGCTGACAAAAACTAAAGTATGTCAGGAAAGAGATAGATAGACAAAAATACCATGTAAGACTGAGCAAACAATACCCAAATAGAAAGCCAACATACCTGATTCCTCACAATGGGATTAGATCTAGACAGTGTGATAAAAAACTGATTTTCTATATAAATGTAGTGCTGTGCCCTCGTTATGGTGTCCACGTACGCTTCGTGTATACTTTGCTCTACAGTCTCTGGGTCTAAGAAGCCGCAGGACCAACTGGAGACGCTTCGTAATACCTGAAACACAAGTTTATATAAAAACTAGTGAGTTACTCTGGCTTCGCTCGGGTCACGGGTGGCTACGAAGGTTTCAATAGATTATTGTGACTTAAGATAGATTAACCTATTAATTTTTCGTCTATGGAAAAGAAAATTTTATATTAAATTATTATACGTATTCTTTTACAAATAGAACCTGTACTAAAAATTGAAATTAAAGTTTCTTTCGGAGATTTAAATATTGTCAATTTGATTTGACTTAAAATTGCGGAACCATAATGATCGTATAAGGTGGAATTATATTATGTATGTACTAGCATTGCCCGCAGCTCCGCCCGCGTTCAGATGACTAAAAACCAAATTCTTAAGTTTTACATATTAGTATATGTACTCTTACAATGCAGTTTTTGTATTTTTTTAAGAAATGAGATATTTTCCCGCGGTAAAAAGTATCCTATATGTTGACCCGGATAACCAGCTATCACCATAACAAATTTTATCAAAATCCCTCCAGTGGTTTTTCCGTGATGCGGTAACAGACAGACAGACAAAAATTCTTAAAACTATAGATTCGGCCTCTGTATCGATAATAATGTTTATTTCAATAAGATTTTCCAAAAAATATTTAATGTACAGATTCAGCTTAGTTACAATTTTATTACATGTATAGATAACACATGTTTTCAAATTTGTTAATAATATGTATATAGAACTAAAAGGAGATATTTTATATTAAAGATACATAATTTTTTATATCAGCTTACCTGACACGAAACATTTTTGAACTCTACATTGAAAACGTTTTCCAGTTCTGACAGAGGTTTGATGTCGCTATATGTCTTCGGTAGCAGATATGGATAATTTGCGTTCTGTCTGAAATGGAGGAACGGTAAAACTTTATATAATAACTAGCGACTCACTCTCGCTTCGCTCGGGTCGCCCTTAAGAGATGATTTCCGGGATAAAAAGTATCCTATGTCCTTCTCAGGGTCTCAAACTATCTTCTTACCAAATTTCATCTAAATCGGTTCAGTATATTCAGCGATTACCCCCTACAAACTCACAAACTTTATGTCTTTATAATATTATTAGTATAGATTACATTTAATTTGACTCATGTAACAACAAAAATTAAAAACAAAATAAACAATTACTTTTTAATTACACTTACACTTGCACTTAATGTCCCAACATATTAACTTATTTATCTCTCTCTCTCTTGATATTTACATATATGTGACCGTAGGAATACAAAGTACAACCCATTTTGTATATACGAATCATGTATGTATTCAGCTCCTTTTAATGACCCACTGCTGGGCACGGGCCTCTTTTCAATACGAGGGGGGATCAGGCCTTAGTCCACCACGCTGGCCAAGCTTTCAAAAACCTAGTAAATCCTCTCAGACATGTAGGTTTCCTCGATGTTTTCCTTCACCGTAGAACATGTGATAATTTTGTTATAAATGAATCGCACTTGAAAATATCAGAGGTGCGCGACTCAGAATTTGAACCTGATTCACTCGGTTTTCCAAACGAGCACGTCACCACTAAGCACATAAAATACATTTTTCCGATTTTATTAAAGTACCATGACATTTAAAGTTCAATAAATTCTTTATTAAAAACTCTAAATAAAACATTCTTCTCTACCTAGTACTGAAGGGAGGTGCGTGCCCAGCAGTGGGACGTTAAAAAGGGCTGAATACAATAAAACTTTACCCACCTAGCCTTTTCCAGCTTGATAGCGTTCCAGCGCTGTATGAAGTGCCTGGCGACGTCGCGCGCCGCCGCGCCCGCCACCGCCACGCCCACGTCGTGCCACGGCATTCGCGGCGTTGTGTTCCTGTCCACTAGGTCTGGAATCGCGTGCAGGTATTGTTATTAGTGTGGCTAATATGACTCTTATTATTGAAGGCTTTAGTTGTAATTATTATAGGCATACTGAATACTAAGTAATAAATTTAAAAGAATAATATCCTGTGGTTCCTATTACTAGAGATAGATATTTTAATTTGTATGGAGCTCATGTCTTATCTTTAGTAAATAAAGCACGGATAGATAGATAAATGCCGATGCAAAGCAAATCTAATAATATATATCGATACGTAAAACACATATTTACCTATTAGATATTCATATCTTAAAATATTGTCGGCTGGCACCGACTTCGAAAATATCTCATTAGCTATATATTCTAAATAAAACCCCCGTTTAGTTATTTATTATATTTTAGTGCCTGGAACTCGGTTTTTATTTTATTTTAAAATGTTTTTATTTGTTCATTTTTAGTGTAGACGTAATAAACAGGTAATTTGTTAGAAGAAAGTTTTTTAATAACATGTTCGATTAAGCAATTTATTTTAAAAAAATATTATTTGTTGATTTAAAAAAACCACTTGACCGATTTCGATAAAATTTATATGAGACCACCTGGGAAGTATACCCTTTGAAATAAAAAAAATCCAAATCGGTTCAGGCGTGTTCGAGTAATTGGTGAACATACATAAAAAAAGATTCCGACAAATTGAGAAACTTTTGGAAACGGAACGTCCTTTTTGGAAGTCGGTTAAAAAGGCATACGAAAGGTGATCTTAATGCTATGAACGATCTCTTACAGACAATCTTTGGTGAAAGGACAACTTATTGAGAAATAATTTTGAAGCATTAAATATAATATATTTGGTACACATACCCTTTCGAGAAACTATATTGAAATTAATTTTTAACATTTTATTAAATAATGACAAATTTAATTATTAATTATATCATTTATTATATAATGTAAGTCTTAATATTTTATAATAAATAATAAGATCACTAAACTATTGTTATAATAAATGCAGCAAAAAATTAATTCATACAAATATCCTATTGAAATCTTTATCTACATATTTTAAACATTTCTTGAAGTTATACTTCTTATGGCACGTTTGAAAAATATATGAGCGTAAAATTTTTACGATGCGCGCGCACACCGACAGCCAAAAAGCGACATGATGAAGTTAGCTGAAAGTGACATGATGAAGTGCATTGCATTCCTTTTACAAACAGAGAGTTGTGACATACGGGATGAAATGTTTAGCTTATTTTATTCTGTTACGCCAAAGAAGTATAACTTCTTACGTAAGTACAAACACACGTTTTATTTATTAAAAAAAATAAAAAAAATAGTGCAAAAAAATAATTATAATAACGTACCAACAAACGGCATATCCAAGCTGTTAAAGTCCTTTACAATGAAATTGACGTAGTCTTTTCCAATCCATAGTTTAGAATTTCCCTCAATACCCTCTATAGCTTTCTTAGTACTTTCTGTTATCACCCTCCCTTCTGCCACTTGAGCGAGAGGCGCAGGTTCGATTACCGTTAAAGATTTAATTCCTAAAGCATCCGTCAAAAGAACTTCATCATTTGATCTAGCATACTTCTCCGCTTTCTTTCTTTCAGAATCATCAAATTTCTGTTCATTTCTTTCCTCTTCATATGGAGGGTAAATAATACTGATGAAATCTTTGCCCCGGTCTGTTATTTTGTCAAGAACATTTTTCTTTTGGTTTTCGTCTGATTTTGGGTCGTTTTGTATACCAATTTGTAGTATTTGGTCTTCAGGGTGGAGTTTCAGAGGTTCTGGCTCTGGAAGAGTTTCAGGTTCTGGCTCCGTTTCTTCTTGTAGTACATCTTGAACTGGGCTGTTGTGAGAAAAATATTTATAAATATGTTAATATTTCATTTATTTATGTATGGAATTAAATTATTTATTACAACAAAAAAACTACTCCTACTTTTACACTGCAAGTAAGAATGTTAATTTAGTTAGATTTCTTTTATCCGAATTTTTACCATCCAGAATTTTTTATCTTTTATTAAACTTTTTATTTTAATTAGCTTATAATATAAAAGTGCCGAATACGCACAAAAAATTTAGAATTGGGAAAAGCAGCACTATTGGTTAGAATAATACATAGTATAGTTAACGGATTTGCATTATAAATCTTGATTTGATATTTGTAGTTTAACGAGAAAAAATACTATACTTTGTGACGCGTAATATTTAAAAAGAAATAATTTAATCATTTGCTATTTATATGTTTACGTTGCTCTGAAGATTATTAAAAAAAGCATATATAATGCTCTATAGTAAATCATGCCATAGACTGAAACATATATATATATATATATATATATATATATATATATATATGTCCTCTATAGTAGGGTATGTCATAGACTAAACAACAAATAGACAAAACACTCACATATTAACCCCAATAACAATATCTCGAGACGACTTCGCCAGTTCCAATGCCGCCTCTATACCATTACCGTGCGGCATGTAGAGGCCGCCGCCCGGCGAGCTCGAGGTTTTCTTCTTAGTTTTTATATGGGTCTTTGGTTGGGATATATTGCCTAAGTCCGTTAACCTGGTAATAGTCAATAGAAAATTTGTTGAAATAAATGATTTTAGTTTATGTTATTGTGGGAAGTAATAAAATTTGGTGATTACCGGGTTGTGTTTTGCATTAATGTTAAATATTTTTGTTATATATTAAAGAAATGTTTTATATTAATATAACTAAATTACCTTTAAAATATGATTATTTCTTATTATTTATACATTTATGGACATAACACATGCATTTATTTATTTAATAAGGTGTGCAGTGGTTATTGCATTTTATACAAAGAACCAATTAAAATAATTAAATAGAACATAATTATGCATAGCCATTTAAAAGCAAACCCAACTTGCACATTTTTGTGTCCGGTTTTGCAATTGTTAGGATTTCAAAAACATGGTAATATAAACATTAGGTTAAATAAAAATAGTTATATAGATATATAATAATAATAATAATATGAAATTCAATGTAGTTTTTAAAATATACTTATAATAAGAGAAAAACATATTTATCTGTATATAAAATTGTTTAAACTAAGAATTCTCTTTTTATTTTTTACCAATAAAAAAAAAGAAAATCTAATAGGTACATATATATTACGATATTTATATGAGAATTTAATAAGTTTATCTTTATTTTCGCTTACCTATGCTTATGATCGTCCCACCGGCCATAGCACAAGTCGATTCCGCCCAGAAACGCCACAGTTTGATCCACTACTACTATCTTTTCGTGATGCGCCCAAAAGAATACACCCACTTTCGCATGGTCTGGATGACGGAACACCTGATGTATAAAAATTATAATAAAATATACAATCATTTAAGAAAACTGGTATTCATTAAATGTACTTATATATTTGCTTAGGATTTTGTTTTTGTATGGACCATATAAGTAATCGGTGTATCGGTAAATAGGAAATTAGATAAATGTGTTAATTCCAAAATATATTTTATAAAAACAAAGTTAGTAAGAACTATGACAATTATATTAATATAGAATTTCAAACAAATTATTGTTGGCTATCACAAGCATTTTATAAGAAATTTTATATTTTTTTTATCTAAAACTAATCTTGAGAGTGCAAAATACCTTAATATTTTCATTTGCTAATCTACTTTTACTGTAGAAACTATTGATACCGAGTGCCATCTCCACTTCTTTGTACAGCATTATGAAGATCTTTACGCCTTGTTCCTGAAAATTAAAAAAAAAACACTTATAATGATTTAATTCACAAATTCTTATAGTAAGAACGATTAGATCAATATATAATAATAATAATATATTGGCCAAATATAGTAAGAATGATTAGACCATATTGAGGGCTAAGCTTGAGGTGGACTAGTAAAAACCAATGAGTTCTGTAATTAAAAAAAGCAGAATATCTATTGAAAAAATATATCTCGAAGTAGTATTTTAACTTTACTAATAAAATTAATTTTAATATGTTTATTTATTTATGAACCTTAAAAAATATACATACACAAAAAACATACATACAAAGGTGACTTATCTCTTTAAGAGATCTCTAACAGAAACCCTCGAGCGTGAGAAAAAAAAATATAATGAGGTGCGGTATAGGTACAAACTACAAACATCAATTATTATATATATTATAACAACTAATATATAGCCAAGTAGCTAAAATAGAACATTTATAATTTCGCTATGTCTGTCTTTTCATAATTTTTATGTCATAGCCATTTTCGAACACTATTGGAGCTAAATTGCTTAATTTTCGTAGGTAAGTGTCTTATGCGAACTGAACGGTAGAAAAGTGAAAAACAATAGGATTAAAAATACAGACAGGTGTTTCTATGTAACTTTTATGTACAAACCAATATACACTGTAATAACAATTACACTACAGGACTCAAAGGCGTGAATTCGTTAGTTTCTATACACCTTATTCCCGACGTTACGACAGGTTGGCTACACCAGCCGTAGTCACGGGTAGACTGAATATTTAAAAAAAGTTGTAATATTATACTTTAACCTAAACATTTGTATACAACAACTCACCGCTTTCCTCTTCAAAATAGTATCCAGCCTCCAGTAATCGCCATTCAAGGCGGGTCTCTTCATGTATATCTCTGGGCTGAGCCACCAGTCGGCTATGAATATCTCCTCCCGCGCGTGCTCCATGGCGTCGGCGGCGGCGCACAGGTAGGGCGCGCCGTCCGCCAGCGCGGCGGCGGGCGTGCCGGCGCGCGCGGGCGCGAACGAGTGGTGCACGTTGGGGTGCGTGAACTCGCGCGCTGGGTTGTTGGAATACTGTTATAATATGCTAAGGTATGTGTGTGTGTGTGTTTAACTGGCATTGGTAAAGGATTTTTTGCAATTCATATTATAAAAAAGCTAAGGAGTGGAGATAGATTAGCTGGAGCCGAGCGAGTGGTACAGGTTGTCGCGGGCAGGCATGTAATCGGAATCTATATATTAATACCCCTTTTAACGAAAACTGCGCAGACGCAGGCGTATGAAATTTACCACACTTATAGTTTATATAGAGAAAGAATGCAGAATGCTATTTTTTTTAACTATGCATAAAAAATACATTAAATCAATAAAAAAAACATTACACACACTACCATGTATTTGACACACACACACACGCATATATACTCTTTTGTTATTGTTAAAGTCTGTGGTCAAATTGAGAATAGATTAATATTGTTTGTCTACGGTACTAGCATGCTTAGAAGTTATTAAAATATAAAAATTGAATTCAATCATAGATTAAGTAAGAAAAGATTTTTTGTAATCCACATTCCATAAAAAAACAAAGTAGTGGAGATAAAAAAAGTGAAAAAATGTATACCAACAATAGTGTTTTATCTGCCAACGTATGTGTATATATATTTTTACTCTTCTATGCTGAAATGTCTGGATAAATTTGGATGAAATGTAGTGTATAAATAACATTACAACCACGGTAACATAAGCTACTTTTAAACACATAGGAATGCACCCAAGTAAAGCAAAAACAAGTGTAACATAGAAAAAAATCTAATTCCTCACCAGATTGATTAGCAACAGTCTTTAAATAATGCATCCATTCTTTACTTTTCCTCTTAGTCCAACATTTGATGACCATTTGTCTACTTTGGTTAAGTATTTGCAGTCCGTTGCTTAGTCCCGTCGAGTACATACCACTTGACACCTCAAACCTAAAAATCAAAATAATACATATAAAAAAAAAGATAAAAAAATATAAAGTAATAATAAATTTGTGTTTTTTTTGTTTTCTAAATGTTTTAATAAGAAAGAACTAGAAACTGAAAGAATATTTTTATTAATAAAATTATTTGAATATATTACATTGTAATATTCGGTACTTACATTTTCAAATGCTGCATAAAACAAAATAAAAGTACATATTACTTTATATATTTAAGTTGTAACTTTTAATTTATTCTAAATTGTTAGAAATATAAAATGTAACAATGATTTTTAAAATTGTTGGTCGATATTCAAGATGTTTTCTTTATTAATTTATATGGGAACAGCTACAAGCTTCATTTACTTGAAAAAACAAAACTTGAAAATCGATTAATCGATACAATTGAAGAAGATAATTTATGTAACAAACACACAAACATACTCGTACATACTAATAGAGTATGTTTAACTTTTGATTTATAAATTTATCAATAACTGAAATATCTGTCCGTGTTTCAATTAAGCTACTCAATTATAAACTTTTTAAAGGTTATATAGACGATACTAGCGAGCCGGTAAAATCAATTATAGTTTATAACTTGAAAAAAAAAAACGACATGAGAAATTTCAATATTTCGATATCATAAAAGAGACATAAGAATACGGAAGAACAATAAAAGAATATATAATATTTAATTCAAAATTCACTAAAGTCAAAAACGAACTAACTAACTCACCCTTGATCAAACAGCATTATCCCTTTAACAACGCCGTCACTCGGCCGAATGTAGCCAAAGAAGGTGTCCTTCACAAATAGCCACCTCTCCTGCCATTTCGCACAAACCAGTCCTGTACAGAAGTAATTACATCTGAAATAAAAAATATCAGTCCTTTTAAAATATACATACACAATCGGCTATGAGGTAAATGTAAGTTGTGTGTGTGCGTGTGTGTGCGTGCGTGCGTGTGCGTGAGTGTTTGTTTGTTAGTTACTTCTTTAGGTTGAAACGGATTTAGATTACATTTAGTACACGAGATAGACATCGATCAAAAAAGTACTAGATGCACAATCAACGACAAAAAATGTCCTCACCGAATGAGCTCTCATTTGAACATTTGAGCGCACTTTATTTTTTTTCTCAAAACAACTTTAACCATTGCATTTAAGGTTCAATTTACATTGTTGTATATTTATTTCAACTAGAATAATTACCTTAACACAATTGGTGACAGTTATAAGAGAAATTTTGCATGGGATTGTATATCTAGCTAGTACTTTTAAGATCGATGTAGTTAGACCTAAAGTAATACAAAGCGATTAATACAAAATGTAGCGAGGGTAACTCTATTTGTCGCCTTAGCGCTTACTTGTTATCTAAATACATATTTTTGACTTTATTAAAATAAAATTTGTATTTAATACTAAAAGGATTGACATTTTAAAGTAAATTGTTCTTACGAAGCTCTGTCGGTAAAGTGGTCGTTTGGATCAATGAGTACTGAGACGTCGGGTTATTTATATTTATTTGTTATATAAATAAATTCTATATAAAGCAAGGGGTCATGTTAAATTGTTATGAAGTAATAATACATAAATAGATACAAGTAAATCTGTATGCATATAGCTAGTGAACAAACACAACAATACCTCACACATACAGTGTTGCCTAACAAGCCGAAGCAGTTGCAGCCAGCCTGGCCGGGCCGCGTGGACCCCGTACGTTTCTCTATTATCCCTTCCTTGCCTTTCGTACCTAATTCTTTTATGAACGACATATTTGAGACTTCGAGGAATTTCACCTGAAATTATAAATTAATCATATTATTTTTACTATAACTTATTATACAGGCGCGGGTGCAGAGGTGGAGGGGAGAGGGAGAAGGCGGAGTTGTGGCAGTGGGTGCAATTGCCACCACGGATGTAAAAAAAGATTCGATCTTTATATTAATCGATTTTTTTCTTATAATCGACTCTCTAAATATTAAAAATCGATCTTATCTGTATAGAAATATTAAGAACCGATAATTTTTTTAGTTAATCGATTTTTTACAAATGGATTTATTTTAAAGAGGGAAAAATCGATTATTTAGTAATGTCCCTCGATTTTTCCTACCCAAATCACATCCCTAATGGCCACACAAGACCACCTCCATCCCCTCTCCTCCCACTTTGACTACGACCAAACACATTATTATGACCATTTTCAACAAAATTGTGTTTTATCTCATAATTAAAAAAAATAAACTCGCAAACTTACGAAAATCGGAAAACTTTCGGTTACATGCTGTTTGTATGGAAAATTTGAGGTTCGCATTACTTTCGCTAGGAGCGCTTGTTTTTCTCCATACAAAAAATAAGTACAATATACGGTTTCCGTAATAAGTCAAATACAAACATTACATGAAAAAGAACTAAAAGCTTATCATTTTTTTTATTTAGAACGAATTTTCTGAAAAACAAAATTGCTAGTATGTTATGTTACTTAAGAAAGCCCAATACAGTGAGGATCAAAGCTAAACGATAATACTACGTCAATTTGAATTACTATGGCAAAGATTTTGATAAAAATAATGTTAATACTTACAGTCTCATGATGGTTTCTATATATAGATATATTAAGCAGGTTGAACAGATACTCTTCCAATTGTTTCATACGTAATTGTATGCCTTCGTATGTGATCATTACTTCGGGTTTTCTAGGAAATCTGTCAAATAATATAAATTATATTAGTATACATGTCTTCAGGCACATTGTATAATTATTTATCAATACTCAAACATCGATGTCCATTTATTTGCAAACATTCGCCTGTTTCTAAAATGCTGAAGACAAATTGATGATGTTTCTGATGCTGATTCATTTCGCAAAAAGTCATACCGTATTTTAAGTAAATTGTTCATAATATCCTTCTAACAGATTTCAACCATGGACGCTAATCTCACTAAGCCTAACTGTGCAGAAGATATTATAAGTGCACAAGTGCATCCTCTATTCTTGAAGGCCGATGGAACGCACATTCGATACGACTTTATGAGCACTCCGAGGTATGAAAAAAAAATTGACAGAAAAAATCAACCCTCTCAACTTTATAACCTACTCCGGGATTCGAATCCGATCTATACAATTATATGCTAACCACTATACCATACCTGCCTTATAATTTGGGTGAACATAGAAGATTTGAGATCTTATCACTGACAAGTTATTTCGACGTTTGACGAGATTAGAATGCATCAAGATAGCCAGCTTTTTAGAATCTGTATTTATGATAAATCGAACAGGTAACAACAATATTGAGTTCACTTCAGACGTGACGCGTTCGTAGTGTTCGTTCAAATAATAAATAAATTTTAATATTATGAATAATATTCGTGATATTATTCCTAATATTCGTGCACTCCTGCATCGTATATATCCTTAAAGAAAAAAAATTGTTAAGAGTCCTGTGATATATACCAGTTTTCATCGATAATTGTAGTGGCTTAAAATAGAAAATGTCTCAAAACTTGAGTCAGTTTCATGACTTCGTGCTAGACTCAGTGTAATAACGTGTTTAATATTATAAGCAAAAATAACTTTTAACAAATATATCCTAAACTATCAACCCTACAATGAAGTACGCATGTTGCAAATCGTCGGAAGATGGCACCACTGACTGTATTAACTGTGCTCGATGTGATTACAGTTATCACTACCAGTGTCTATACGCAACAGTGAAATTCGATATAAAGGAAGGATGGATATGTCCAGATTGCTCATCAACAGAACCAAGAAATGGAAATATTGGTGAAAACAATACACCAATTTTTAATACTAAAATGGAACTGGACGATAATTTTACTGCGTTCAAAGGTGATTCTAGTTCATATGTACACTCCTCAGAAAATAAACCTAATGGGTTTGACTCATTTTTACATGTGCAACGTGTTAGAGGTGAAATCTCTACTGAATTAAAGAGCTTAAAAGCAGAGTTTAAAGACACTATAATTCCAATTCAAAATGAGTTGAGAGCTATTAAGAAGGAATTTCTTGAAATGAAACGATCTCTGATTTCTATAAACAATAAATTTGACGAATTCAATAAGAGAGTTGATGAGTGTGAGGTTCATATTAGGCAAATCTATACTAATATTATAAAGAGGTAAAGTTTGTGAGTTTGTGACGTTGTAGGGGGTAATCTCTGGATCTACTGAACCGATTTAGATGACATTTGGTAAGAAAATAGTTTGAGACCCTGGGAAGGACATGGGATACTTTTTATCCCGGAAATCATCCCTTAATGGGGTGAAAAAGAGGATGAAAGTTTGTATTGGGAAGTAAGCTAGTGTCGAATAAATGGTAACTTTAAACAAAAAACAGTCTTTATTTAAACAACACAATGGTAACAAATACACACAGCCCTAACTCCTGAACTAGAAAACTGTATTTCAGGAGCTAGTACCTTCCCATATCAGGCGTACATATTCATTGCATGAAATTACGTTATAATAAGGTAAGTTAATGTAAACAAAAAAGGAAAAAGAAAAAAAAATATAAAAAAAAAAGTTTTAGAGTGGCATATTTTATAATACACGTACTCTAGTTATACACATATTCTAGTTCTAGTTAATTTCTATCCTATATCTAGTTATACATACAGAAAACTATTATTGTCGACGAAACATCGATACATAATAATTTTCGTTATATATGTTTTAAGAATTGTTCCAAAATGATGAAGCATGACAAATGCAGCCTTAGGTGTACTTTAAAAATAATGTTTTATAGATATATGACATATATATGTTGTGTATACATAAATTGTTACAATAACAATCATGTGAAGTTTGAAATTGTTAATATTTTGCTTAGGTTTAAATAACTCCTACTTGTTATCTACATATCGTATTACATAATTTATTATCTGATAAGGAATAATATATAATGTAAAAGATTGAATAAATATTTTTTTGCGAATCTGGATGCGTCATGCGGGGGATTTTTTGTAGCTTTTATACTTTTATTTGATGATTTTTAATTGTATTATCTTTTATTAATTATATTTTTATATCACTTTGAAGCTATAGTGTACAATGATGAGTATTTTATTAGTCTGCACTTTGCAGATCACTGAGTACTCGTATATGATAAAAAATATCTGTTTGCCCGAAATCATAGTTATCTATACATACATATAATAAAATTCTAACTAAGCCGAATCTATAAATTAAACATTTATTGGAAAATCTTATTTAAATAGACATTATTATCGATACAGAGGCCGAATCTATAGTTTTTAGAATTTCTGTCTGTCTGTTACCGCATCACAGAAAAACCACTGGAGCGATTTTGATGAAATTTGGTATTAGCTGGTTATCCGGGTATATAGGATATTTTTTACTGCGGGAAAATATCTCATCTCTGAGAAATCTATGCTAAACGTTAATATAAATCAAATTATCCCTGATGGTAACTGACAAAGCCTGATAGTTGAATATTATAACATTTTTCATTAAAAATATTTTTGCGATAAATGACATCACCTTCAAAAACCTCGCTAACAAAAATATTAATCTAAATAGTAACATGTTATCTTAAACAAATGAAAGTTTAATCTTACCTTGGCAAAGCACCTTTTCTTTTCCTGGGCCTGTTTTCTCTCCTTTTAGAATTACTCCTGGTCACAGCTTCTAAGGCCACTTTTTCCGCTATTTCTTCACTGTTTACAGTATTCTTGAAACTCGCTCTTCTTGATTTATGAGTTTTGGTGGGAAAGGGAATTTGAAGAGTCGCTCTATACAAAGATAGCTGTTGATGAAGATACAGTATGTGCTTGTATCGTTTTTTGATTGTCCACGTAAAGTCGCCATGTTGAAGATTTATTGTGTATCTAGAAGTGAGGAACATAAAGAAATATAATATTAAATTTAGTTTTATTTAATCTCTTGATATGTAGTAATAATAAACGATATTAAGAAAATTTTCGAATCATTAATGTAATTATTGATGAACTATTTAAACTAAAACTTACTATTAGAATAAATAAAATTAATTATTAGTCCACTTTAACTTCAAAAGATACTGAGAATAAATTATAATTTAAAAACTATATGATTATTACAAGCAAGTTTTAACTCGCTCCGCTTGGTACGTCCATATAGAGCATGCTGTGTGTTAATTCAGGACATCAAGTACCTTATTACAAACACTCGTCCGTAGAGCCATTTCAGCGTGACGAATAAAATACATTCATTTACTCACAAATTTTCGTTTAATATTATTTTTATATATTCCCTAGATGCCGTTCGAGTAGATAAAATTAAGAAATTTTTCAGAGAAGATTGATATTTAGAGCTTATTTTCGCAATATGTTTATAAATTATAACCTATAACCTTCTTCGACAATTCTTCTTCCTATTTATAAAAACAGTATGAAAATTGGTCCTGTAGTTATTGAGATTAGCGATATGAAAACACGAACTTAGCGCCGCGGGGACTTTAATGTCAAATATGTAGAGATAAGTAATAAGCCGAAATGAAGCGGGTTCAAATCCCGGGACCCGCATCTCTGATATTTTCATGTGCGAATTATTTCTAAAGTCATTACCACTTGTCTTACGGTGAAGGAAAACATCGTGAAGAAACCTGCACGTCTGAGAGAACCTAGCAAGTTTTCGAAAGACATGTAAAGGCCGCCGGTCGGCACTTGACCAGCGTGGTGGACTATGGCCTGATCCCCCTCGTACTGAAGGGAGGCCCGTGCCTGCTAATGGGACGTTTAAAAAGGGCTGAGTATATACATACATACATACAAGTAATAATGTAGTAACAGAGAACATAGAATTTATTTGTAAATCCAAATTTGACAGCTGATCGGTAAAGCTTTATTGATTAGCTCCTCAATCTCATAACACCTCGAGATAAAAACACATAATATCTTGTTATGAGAGCAAGTATTGTTGGTTTGAGATATCAGTGGAAAATGAAGTGCATTGTTATAAATCGTATTGTTGTTTATTACTCATATATTCCATTACAGGAAATATTAGTTCTGACTTCTGATGTAAAAGGACTGGATTATTTAAAGGTTAGAAGTACATATATGTAGATATTACGAAGTACTGTTTTTATCTAGACTTTGACGCTTTGAGTTTATGATTTTGTGGTTATTGTCATTTATTTAACATCATGTTATTATGACGTAAAATACTTATATCTATCTATACTTATAATAAAATTGTAACTAAGCCGAACCTGTAAAAATCTTATTGAAATAGACATTATTATCGATACAGAGGCCGAATCTATAGTTTTTAGAATTTTTGTCTGTCTGTCTGTCTGTTACCGCATCACGGAAAAACCACTGAATGGACTTTGATGAAATTTGGTATAATGGTAGCTGGTTATCCGGGTCAACATATAGGATACTTTTTACTGCGGGAAAATATCTCATTTTTGAGAAAAAATATAAAAATTGCAATGTAAGAGTATCATAATATGTAAAACCTAAGAATTTGGTTATTGGTCATCTGAACGCGTGCGGAGCCGCGGGCAATGCTAGTCTATACATATAATAAAATTGTATTTAAGCCGAATCTGTACATTAAATATTTTTTGGAAAATCTTTTTGAAATAAACATTATTATCGATAGAGAGGCCGAATCTATAGTTTTTAGAATTTTTGTCTGTCTGTCTGTATGTCTGTTACCGCATCACATAAAAACCACTGAAGGGATTTTGATGAAATTTGGTGTGGTGATAACTAGTTATCCGGGTCAACACATAGGATACTTTTTACCGCGGGAAAATGTCTCATTTCTGCGAAAAAATACAAAAACTGCAATGTAAAAGTATACTTATATGTAAAACCTAAGAATTTGGTTTTTAGTCATCTGAACGCGGGCGATGCTAGTATAAACATAAAAATTATTTAAAGATGCTTTTAAAAGGCCTTAAAAAGTATTAAATTATATTCAGAATAAAAATAGCTTAAAACCATCGATTTACATAATTATGTACATAGAAAAAATAATAAAAAAATTGTATGCAACTTACAAATTGGGATTCAATAAATGTGTTGTAGCACTCCTCTCGTTTTCCACAAATCTCACTTTTATTACTACTCCTGGAATGAACACTTTTCTGTGCACCGAATTAAATTTAACAGGTGGGTTGTGAACTGATTTGTATGGCACTGAAGTTGCCAGCGGCGCTGGAAAAAAAACACAAAATTGCTGTAATTTATTAAACTTTTTTTTACTTAAGAAAGCATACATGCGTCGTATTGTTTAGAACCTAGAAGAACTTTTTAAAATTTGATTATTAAATAATGAAACGTCGGGAACCAAAATAAATCGCATGTAATTTTTATTGATTGATTCGAAAAGTGACCAAGTTTCAAGTATCGATTTGAACATATATTACGTTTTTTTTAATCTATCATAAAAGGAATAATGTAAAAAAATCTTCCCAATACCCTATCAAATAAGTTTCTATTTAATCTGGATGTTAATAAATCAGTCCGATAGAACATGAAATTTTATATAAATAAATATCTTAGCCATACATTAGAAAGTATCGACCAATAAATAGTTTTAAACTAAAGAAATTTTACATGAGTATTGAATCTTAACAGCGCTATAAGTTACTTACGAGTGGGAAAATCTATCGATAATTTTTTTATAATGGCGTAATTATTTATGAGGGTTTAGTTTTTATCTCGCTATCATACTATGTCTATACGAGTATAATAGCTTACTTCCGTTTTGTAACATTCCATATTTAACAGTAATATCATATATATTTTTTACTGTTCATAAAGAAAAATTAACATTATTTTATTTAAATTAATATTATTAAACGATAAACAGATTATTGGGATTCACCGTTAGTAAGTAAGATTCCCACTTGACTCTACTACAATATAGACAAATACACGTATATATTATGACAAATTAAAATTGCAACTAAGAAAATCTTATTGAAATAGACATTATTATCGGTACAGAGACCAAATCTATAGTTATCTATAGATATAAAAATACGCACTTTTCATGATTTATAACACCTCTTTAACACGCTTCACATGAACTTCATATGAACGCGTGCGTTAGCGTAACATGGTGTTAATATCCAAATGGCCAAAATGATTTAGATACCATAGCCATGTTAAATACTTATTTACAAACAATTACGGCGTAATCTTTTGAGATTCATTATTAAGTAATTTTACTTTATATATGTTCTTCCTTTACCTATACCTATTATAAAATATTCCGTTTTTAGGACAAATATATTCTCATTATATGTTATTATCATTTAAGATTATTTTTAAATAAAATTAATTTAGGAATTAACAAAAGCATTAAATTTGTAAAAATTAGGGCTACAGCTTGAAACATCCTCATGAACGTTTCTCTATCACGAATACTAACCTCGCAGATGTATGCGGAAAATATTTGTAACCAAGTGTTAACACACTCATTATAAATAAATATAAATATGTTGGAACATTAACACACAGCACCATCTAGTCCCATGGTAAGGCTTGTGTTGTGGATACCAGATACTCGTAGTTGATACACTACACATATATAACTTTAAATACATACATATTATAAATATAAACACCCATGACTGGAGTACAAACATTCGTGCTCATCACTCAAATGAATGTCCCTAGGGGGACTCGAACCCAAGACCAAAGTAAGAAGCAAGTAGGGTCACTACAAACTGAGCCAAACGTGTCGTCATTATCTTTTCCCTCGATCTGGCAGCAGTACTATCGAAGGGCAACCCAAGACGATTGAAGGGTACATTAATAGCTTCAAATTTTGCCAATTAGCATTGTGATTACCTACTCGTAGTTACTAATTTACAATGTCAAACAGCAAAATTTTGGCTGCAATTAAAAAAATCTTAGAAGATGTACTAATAACTTTCCACCGGTATTTCGACGACTAATAATATTTTTTATTTTATCTAATAAGAGAATATGAGTCAAAAACTATACAGATTATTTTTCGTACTGATAAAATTCTCATTTGACTTATCGCATTAATGTAACGTATTTATTAGTCATTTCTATTTTATCTGTATATATAATAAAATTCTGAGTCGAATCTGTACATTATTTTTTAGAAAAATTTATTGTAATAGTCATTATTACGGCCGATACAGAGGCCGAATTATAGATTAGTTTTTAGAATTTTTGTCTGTTTGTCTTGGAACGCATCACGAGAAAACCACTGTATAGATTTTGATGAAACTTTGTATGATGATAGCTGGTTATCCATGTGAACATATAGGATACTTTTTGCTGCGGAAAAATATCTTATTCCAAAGCGGAACCCGAGCCGAGCGAGGGTGAGTCGCTAGTATTATAAAAAATAAATAAAAAACAACTAAATATTGGTTCACTGCCTGCATCCTTTTAAAAGAAAGCAACCATAAAGAAAATTCAGACACTCTTGCGTTTAGAATCGATAAATAACAAAACAAAAACATAAATAAAAATCTGATAAAGTAAGGCCAATCGCTAGCATATATTATCTAATATAAAATATTAACAAATTAGGCACTGCGCTACAAGGTTACTTTTAATCTCGTCAATTAGGAAGGTAACCTGTATCCGACTAATTACTTCCTTAGTAAGAACATGAGTCGTTTTCTACTTTCTGATGTGATTATCGAGAAACTTTGGTGGCTAACACAACCTGTGTCATACTGAAATTCGTTCTCATACGGAAATTGCTCTCCATAGCCTTTAGATATAATAGAATTGATTTCCATTCCATTAACGGTAGCTAACTATGTTATTAACTGTTCATAAGCGTATGACAATTACTTGAGTGCCTGTGCCGTCATTCAGCTGATCACTAAAGTTAACCGATATGAAAATATCAGGTTGACAGCCGGTTCATATCAAACGGGGTGATTATCACTTTTGGAAATAGGAATTAAAATCAATACAAATCGGAATAAAAATTTATATTTATTATTTATTAGCATTTAGCAGAGTGAGCGAAGCGCGAGTTTTGACCGATATGCAAGTCAAAACTGCTATTGACTAAGGCCTGCAGATCAAACTACTTTCTGTTTTTGCCAGTTAAAAGTAGTTTTGACCATGAAAGAGTTCTGCTTCTCTAATATAACCAATGTATTATGTATCATCTGTCATATTGTATTGCATCCTGAGTACAATACATATAGAGAATGTTAACTAATAGTATAGAACGTTTGGCAAGTATCTTTAATGGCGGTTCTAAATAACCTATATATTTAAAGTAAACAAATTATGTCAAATTCATATTGTTAGTAAGGAAAATACACACATGTGTGTATACATATACTATAGATAGGTTATTTGGGACTAGTTTTAAGTCACACTGCGCATGGATGTCGTAGTAAATAAACAAATGTTAAACAAATAATTTCAAAGGATATTTTCAATGTAAATAAAGAGAATACATAAGGAAAATGGAAAAAATAAATATATAGTTTTATGTTGAGGAATGATATTTTAGGAAGAAAACTGTACGATATTGAAAAGAAGTAGAATACTAAAAGAAACAGAAAAGAAAGAGCCAAAAGATAAGAAAGCTGAAAGAACGTAAGAAATCTGACAGTTAAGAAACTTTTCTGTAATTTGCAATCGTTTGTGTTTGCAGTATTTTCTTAAGTGTTAGATGAAATATCTATATTATATAAGTTTCTTCTACTTCAAGTACCTACCTATTGCTGTGTTGTAAATTGTGACTATTTCTTCATTGAATTCCGTCTTCCAGAATTTTAATGTATTTAAAATTAAAACGCTCCAAATTTTAAAAAGGAAGCTTCTCATCATACTCAGATTTCATATATAAATGTTGAAAGTATGTACATAAAGTATAAAATAAGCGAGAAGAATAATCTTTTACATTTACCGTGATAGTGAAATATATAAAAAAAACGTCATAATCAATCATCATCAATTTATCATGACCCAGTCAGAGCAGTCAGATAACTTTACTTTTTTACTAATATTGCTCTATATCCGGTGCTAAATACCGTAGTGTAGACATAAATATATACACAGATTAAAAAAAAAAGTAGTGACATTATATTTGTATACATGATTTTATTTCTATTCTGAATTATATAGTTTTAAATAATCTTACATTGCTGCAAGGCCATAGTAGTTTGTTTTAAAAACGCAAACGCAAAAATAAACGTGTGCATTTGCGAATATACATCACGTGCGGGAATTTCGGAAGCAATACATACATTTTAATTCAAAACATTTTTTTATTTACGTTATAGCATTACAATTTGTCCGAAAAATTAATACGACATCTTGAGAAGAGCTGGCGAAAGAACACAGTGGAACATTGATTTTATTTATAAATCCCCTTCCTTCTCTCTTCTTTTTCTCTACCCAAAAGTTGCCTAAAATAGATCGCCCTCTAGCGATAAGGCCGCCTATTGTACTTAATCCTTTAATCTGTTTCAACTATATAATGTAAAATAATGGTGTGCAATAAAGAATATTACATTCATCCTCCGAAATGTCAAAGGCAAAAAAATGTAAAGCATTAAATTGAAATTTGTTTGCGTAACGTTATTAAAAATCTATTACTAATCTATTACTTATTCATTTCAAAAAATAAATGGCCCACTCCACGAGAAGAAGTGGCGAAAGAAACTCAGCGGAACTATTTTTTTACCTATTTTATTTAACATTGAGCATAGAGGCGATCACATCAAATCCCATTCCCAAGGTGAGCTATTTTCTATAGTAGTAGGTAAAGTTATGGAGGTCATTGCTCAAATCAAGCTCCCGCAACATGGCGTTCGCAAAAGGATAAATAATACAATTATATCTAGACAAGTCAGTTTATAGGTTTGAAATAATACATGAATCATTTTGACAACTTTTTACCTTGGAATTCATCAACTATTACACCTTCAACTTATAATTTTATATGTTTTTAATGTTAAAATTTCCAGAATGTAAATATCAAAATTTCTTATCAATTAATTAATGAACTTTGTAATATCTGTAGGCAAGATTTTATAAACTGCTATGGTACACTTAATACTTGACTCCTCTAACATGTTAATGGCCGATTTTACTAACGTCACCCAAGTTTAAGGGATCCCCTAAGCACGTTTAGGGGGCTGTTAGGGGACAGTTTCTGTTTCACCAACAGTTAGGGGTCATCTAAATGTTAAAATGCTACCTAAATATAGGTACTAGAAATACGGGCTCCGACGATGGTAAATCGAAATTTAATTTAGGGGCTAGTTTAGGGGAACTTTTAAGCTAGGGATCCCATACATAAGTGCTAGCTTATGGGATGTTGGTGAAAACGGGCATAAAACTATTACTGACGATGCTGAAAATATTAAACGTTGCATTGTTTAAACGAAGTCAACTTTCTTTTCACATTTAATCGTATGATTATAATAGATTTTTCCTTAAATATATTTAGATAAATATTACATGATAATATGCGATGATTGTTTAAAATAATTTACTAAAACTATCTTTTCGGAATATTTCGCGGATTTATTATTTATTTTGATTATTGGTTCCCGACGTTTCGAATGCTTTACAGCAATCATGGTCACGGGAGAGACTAAGGTTATAGACGTCTCAAACTAATTATCAAACTAATTAACTATTAACTACGTAGGTTAACCACAACCATATAATACGATTCTCGCTAGCGAGCGGAAACATTGAGGCTTTTTTTATCTATTTCAACGACTCCATTGATTTTTAGCTATCTGTAATTTGCACACTAAAAAAACAAATTAATATCTATTCATTCAACCGTTTTCACGTGAATCATGGGCAAAAAAAACAGACAATTTCCAGCGGGCGATAGCGTGACAAAATTTTTAATAATGGATAATGCTGTGCCTAATTAGATGTAACATTAATACTGGCACAAGATGAAGGTAATGTCGCGAATTATTTAATAGTCAATTTTCTATTTAGATATATTCGTAGTAATATTATAAATGCAAAAGTTTGTGAGAATGGATGTTTGTTACTCTTTCACGCCAGAATCACGCCATGATTGAGTGATTGAGTAACAAACATCCACCCATCCAAACTTTCTCATTTTTTATACAAGTCAGATGTTACTGTATGTCATAGACTATTGCTGCACATAATTTTATCGAAATCTGTCAAGCCGTTCCCTTGTGAAAGAGTAACAACTAACAAACATACACTAAAATACAAACTTTCACATTCATAATAAATGTCCGTTAAGTAAAATCACTCACCATTTGCATCTAATTCCTCTTTATTGTTTGCTTTGTCAGTGTCTATGACAGATAGAGATTCTGGCACCGCAAGACTTTCATCAAAGTCTGAATCCACACCGGGTGACAGGGAGTCCAAATTTTGAAATATTCCATGCAAACAGTCACCTTGCGATGAGGGTGTTGGTGTGTCCATACCGTAATTTGTGTAACTGTAGCGTTGTTCATCTGAAAATTGTTATGATATTACATCCATAAGCCTTATTACTATGTTGTTTTTTGTAGAACACTAACATCCTATCGTAATCATATAATGTACCTGGTTAAATAGTAGTCTGTCAGACTATGGCAAATTACGGTCTTATAACTTTATACACATTTTTTTGTTAAGATGATCCATTGCTATGCAAAATAATCAATCACCCTTTTGTATATAAAATATTAATAACTAGCTGAATCGACAGATATTGTCCAGTCTAAACTTTGCTATCTTTTAATTCATACAAAAAACCTAAAGAAAACAACTTTTCAAATTTTTTCCTCTAAAGTCATCTTTGGACTACTTTAAAAAAATACAGTAAAAATAAAATTTTAAAAAGAAATACCAAATCAGTCCATCCATTCTCCTGAATTGGTTAATTTCATTTCATTAATTTAACATCACCAAAACAACATGGCTACAATTTAATTCAAGGTATTTTTAATTTGGCTTGGCTTTTATTGAAGTAGTTTAGCAGAATCCTTTAATTTGAGGTCATTCCAAACTAACATTGTATATATTCGGAAGAAAAAAGAATACATATATTAGTATTAGTAAGCTTGTAAAACACAAGTTTTATATAAAAAATATATAAAAAAGAAAAAAAATATGTATATTAAATATGTATATTAACTTATAAAAACTTTGAAATCCATCCATACATACTAATGTTATAAATGTGAAAGTTTGTACACATGGATGAAGTGTTTCTCTCTCTTTCACCCCATACATCTGAACGGATTTGTATGAAATTTGGCACACAGATAGATTATAGTCTAAAACAGCACATAAGTTACTTTTATCCAGAAAAATGTATGGTTCCCTTGGGATAAATTTGTTTTTGTCTAGGAACCCAAAGCGAAGCGAGGGTGAGTCACTAGTATTCTATAAAGTGTTGTCATAGTACAATAGAGTTTTATATTAGCAGTTTATGGTTGTTTATTTCCCATCTTATATGTATGATTTGTGGTTTAATAACAAGAAATCATAAGCATTGGTTTTGTTAGTAATTGTTACAATAAATATACAGGACAGAGTTGATACTCTGTATGAATCTTTATATATATAATTCTTCTGTGAGTGTGTATGTCACTGAACTTCTCTCAAACGACTGGACCGATTTTGATGAAATTTTTAGTGTGTGTTCAAGGGGATCTGAGAATGGTTTAGATTCACAATTTGAATAATAATTTTCATCAAAATGGTCCAGAATGTTTTAGCTTATTAAAAAAAGTTTGAAATTTTCAAATAAAAGACGTGTAGACAGGACGTCTGTCGGGTCAGCTATATGATATAAATTTTAAATTTTTAAAGTATGACATGATAAAATGGTTGAAAGTATTAATACTTAAGTAATGTATACTAATAAAAATTTAACATACAAAAGTGACATGGGCTATAGCCTCTTATTTTAAAAATAATAAATTTTAACCTGAAATCCATATATTATGTGTTTTGTCACGTTCATGAAAGTAATTTAATGCCCTTTACTTTTAATATAAATATTATTAATAAATATTTTGATATTTTTTACTTTCATTAAATGTAAAACAAGTTGTAAACTTTTTTGATTCTCTTAAAAATTGTAGTTTCTTACTTTCATAATAATATAATTTATTGTATTGGCTAAATTCCAAGTTTGTGTTTAAGACTTGGCTAATGTGTGGCTATTGTTATGTTCTTTAGCAAGAGGCGTAACTTTATTTTGCATTATGTATTGTTTATAAACTTATATAAACAACGATTAGTGAGCAAATCAATTTACATTTTAATTTACTTCATACACTTTGATTTACTTCGTAATCCTAACTCTACTTTCTGTAATTCCATTATCCAAAGGGACCTTTAATTTAAAAAAAAACACTGGCACTGAACAAACACTACCTCGTATAATAAGATTATGGAAGCTGAGTGTAAGTTCACGTCGTTCCATACGTTCCCTTGTGATTTCCTCTAATGAATCTCGTTTCACTTCACTACACCAGTTAGGACGTTGATATGATATGTTCTGGCCATTATCGAGTATAAATTTAACACTTGTGTACATAATCTAGTGATAAGATAGCGGTCGAGTTGTTTTCAGTTCTTTTACAGCACTAGTTATATTCGGTCACAGTGCAAATCGACAATTCGATTTCGTCGACGACAGTCTTACACGCTTCAGTGAAGGCTGAACCAAGGCTTTTGATAAAATTGGTAATAAAAAGTGATACTTACAAAACTTTACGTACACACCGCCTTTGCTGCTTTAATTGTTAGATTACTTTGTTCCTGAATGAGTGAAACATAGTAATAACAGAAGCGACGCGGATCTGAATAGTTATTGTTTGAATCATTCATTTAATTATTTATAGGCTCAAGGTTCCTTGAAGAAAAAACTGTATTTGCTAAGGCTAACAAGAGCCCTCCTTGTACCGAATGAATACTGACGTAAGCACTAAGCGCAAGCGGTCATTAATACGGTGACGTACATCTGTAAAGGCAGCGCTTCCAAAAATGCAGTTGCATTAAAGTTAAATAATTACATACTGAACTTTTTTAATCAATTGGTTAAGGAAACCCAATATATTTTTGACTTGAAGCAGAAAAAATATCACATATAACTTTTGAAGTAATATTTCTTTAGAATCGTTGTGATTTGAAACTCTATGAAACGGAAGTGCGACACGAGAAAGAGACAAACACAAAAATATATAGGATTAGGCCGGCGACAGAATGAGATAGAATATATTACATATGAAGTGAAAAAATATAATACTACATTATATTCTATGTAATATATGTTAAATAAAATATAAAAACACTTTTAAACTTGTTAAAAAAAACTAAACTTATTACTTATAAAAACGAATATTTACTGTGGGGTGAATGTGCATAAATAAAATAAAAGCAATTATGACTAATTGTTTCCACGGTAACCGTTATTATTGTCGGACTGTATAATATTGTTTCCGTATATGATATTCTATAAATATATGATTGTATATTACACACCTTATTTAATTAACATGCCTTATTTAATTATTGATTTGTTTTGGTATGGTATGGTATGTTCGGGCTGTTTTCCGCAACTCGACGACTATGCGCCTATTTTGCGTGTGTGGGAAATTAACTTCTTGTTACTCTTGCCACCCCAGTTCCTCCAGGAACTTCAGCAACCTCTTCGTCTTGCCGAAAATTTCCGGGAGTGACCCAGGAGTGCCAAGATGTTGAGCCCGGTACGTCGCTACACCTGGACAATACAAGATCACATGTGCAGCCGTTTCATCTGCCCCCATGCACGCCCTGCAAAGTGGACTGTCAGTTATACCTATATTAAATAGATGTTTATTATATGGTCCGTGGCCGGTTAAGGCCGCGGTTATTTGCCTGAGTTGAGGTCTGTTAAGTTTGATGATACGGTTCGATATTTTGGCATCAATGTTTGGAAGCGATTCTTTCGCCTGTCTACAGTCTACAACTTCACGCCATACATTGTTGTGTTGGCGTTTAGTTCGTTGTCGGATTTGGCCTTTGAGCCAGCAAGAAGGTAACGAGACGATGGGCTCTGGTCCTATCGCCGTCATGTCCGAACCCCTTCTTGCTAGCTCATCTGCCTTATCGTTCCCCCACGAGTTACTGTGGCCTTTGATCCATTGTAAGGTGATCTCATTCCGGTCACTTACCTGTGTCAAGGCCTTATGACATTCATAGATCATACCTGATGTGGTAGAATTACTATTTAATGCCTGTAGTGCTGACATGCTGTCTGATAATATGCGGATGGAGCAGTCTTCCACCTTCTTTGCCGCAATTGTTCTGGCTGCCTCAAGGATACCTAGACTTTCAGCTTGAAAACACCGTGTTGTAGGTACCTAGAGGTATTGAGGTTTTAATGTTTAAATCATCGGAGAAAATGCCACAGCCAGTCCCCGATTTGGTTTTCGAGCCGTCGGTGTAGATTCTTAGGTCCTTACTGTCGCGACCTTCATGTGTATCTTCCTCCAGCTGTATTTTATATTTTTTGTCAAAAATGTATTTTATTTGTATTCCGTCATTGGGTGCTCCCATAAGAGGAATGTCTTTGGCTACGTCCATTAGGATTTTTGTATGTGGAGTGCCTGTTTTCCTTAGCAGTTTTTGACCATCTAGTCTTATCGCGGTAGACGCAGCCTCTTGTTGTATAAACAAGTGAAGCGGTAAAAGGTTTAGCATGGCTTCGAGAGCTGCGGTTGGTGTTGTTCTCATGCAGCCCGTCACTGCCATGCACACCAGCCTTTGCCAGCTTTGTAGCTTGGTTTGTGCTGTGGTCAAAAGTGTTCTACGCCACCACACTAAGGCACCATAGCTGATCATAGGTCGTATTACCGATGTATATAGCCATAGAGTTATTTTGGGATTAAGGCCCCATTTTTTACCTATCATCCTTCGGCATTGCCAGAAGGTGATACTGGCTTTGTTTAGTAAATTGTCTAGGTGTTTAGACCAATTTAGTTTGCTATCTAAGGTAATTCCAAGGTATTTTACCTCTGTGGTTAATGTTAAGGTGGAGTTAAAGAGTTTCGGCAGGGTGTAGCTTCCTAGAGCTCTTTTGTTTGTGAACATTATTAGTTCTGTTTTGCGTGGGTTAACACTCAGATTATAGTCATAGCACCATTTTTCGACTATATTTAGGGCTGTCTGAGTTAATTCACAGACTGTACTTGTGAATTTGCCCGTTACAAGGATGGCTAGGTCATCTGCATAGCCTATCGTATAATATCTGTTGTTGTTGAGCAGGGTTATTAGGTCGTTGACTACTAGGTTCCATAAGAGGGGTGAGAGTACTCCTCCTTGAGGACATCCTTTGGCCACGATGGCACCTTGTTTGTTGCTGTTACCTAGCCTGACCACTCTGTTCGCTAGCATGTATTGGATCCAGTCAGTTATTACTGGATTTACCTTATGTCTACTGAGTGCGGCTTTGATACTAGTGAAGTTGGTTTTGTCAAAAGCACCTTCAATGTCAATAAAGGTGCCTAGACAAATGTCTTTGGTATCTAGTGCCTCTTCGATTTTGTATACTACTGCATGAAGCGCTGATTCCGTTGATTTGCCTGAACTATAGGCATGTTGATTCCTGTGTAAGGGTGTTTTAGCTAAAGCGTTATCTCTCAGGTGTCTATCACATAATCTTTCCATAGTCTTAAGTAAGAAAGATGTGAGACTGATTGGTCTGTAGGATTTTGCATCCGAGTAATCTGTTCTACCTGGTTTCGGTATGAAGATTACTTTAACTTCTCTCCAGGTTTTAGGCACGTAGCCATACGCCAAACATGCCTGGTATATTTTGTTAAGTGTGTGGTGCAGTCTCGGGCCTCCCCATTGTATAAAGGCAGGGTAGATTCCATCTAGACCCGGCGCCTTGAATGGTTGGAAGCTTTTGATGGCCCACGCTATTTTCTTGGTGTTTATGACCTCTGACGCAACTTGCCAAGAGGTATCTGTTGCATTGTGGTTTACGTCTAACCACTTGTGTTCATTAACCATTGAGCAGTCGGGAAAATGCGTCTGCAGAAGCACTTGGTGTGATTCTTCTAATGATTTGGTATAAGTGTTATCTGGTTTCCTTAGTGAACCCAGTTCTCGTTGTGATTGTCCGGTGAGGATTTTCCGGATTCTGTTAGCCTGTATAAACGATTCTATGGAATCACAGTATTTCCGCCATGCACGGTTCCTCCAATATCTTATACGTTTTTTGTACATGGCCTTAACGTTTTTGTACTGGTCCCAATCTTGATCGTTATATGTATTCATAGCCCTGTTGAAGGCTTTCCTAACCTTGGTTCTAAGGCGTTTTAACTCTGGACCCCACCATGACCGTTTGTCTGCTGGGTTTTCCGGAGGGTATATTAATGGGCAGGTTGCCTCATAGCATGTTTTCTTTTTTTTTTATAGTTTTTTTATAGTTGATTTGTTTTAATTTAATTGCGATATTTGCCAAAGAAGTTTTACTTTTACCGTGAGGGAATTGCAGACACACACACTTATTTTTTCAGGACATCAATAAAAAATGAAAAGAACAACATTACACGGTTATAAATAGATTAATATATCTAACAGTGACAGGTAAATTTATAAGAAATTAATTAAATTTCTAAGAAATCTATTGTTAACTGTAACGCCGGCGTGTCCGCGATCGTGGAGGGAATGATGATGATGTGGATGCTTCACTCGAAAAATGTAACTTTGGTTACTTTCCAGCTCACAAACTACGCACACATATAACAAAAATGTCCAAAATTGTTAAAAGCAACCAACTAACAACTTAAATTGATTGTATCAAACAATAAGTAAATAACATAATACATAGTTTGAATGTTGTCGTAAAGCGCTGGTCGCCATACTTGTTTATATCACGCATTAGTTAAATGTGCTCGATGGTATACTCCCGTTAAATCGTTTTTCAATAACTAACAATTTTATTAAAAGTGAATAACATTATCTGATTATTGCAATTTTATAATGGAAATTTAAGGAATAGAAACTGCAGCAAGTATGTGTAATACAAACTTAGAAGAGTAAGTTAATAAAATTTTATAGTTTGATACAATCAATATATCCTCCTGGGACCCGAACTATAAATTATTGAATTTAAGCAGCGTTTTTCTATGAACTGGGCTAATTGACATTACACTAATGCAAAACTATCAATTAAATGTTACACAAATATCTATTTCAGGATTTTCAGGTGGTATCAAATATGATACTTTGGGACACATAAGAAAAAAAAACTATTTTATTTCAATGTTAGTTTTTTTTAAATCAGTATAATTTTCACATTTAATGCTGATGAAAAGTTTTATAACAATTCCTAGTGAAATTAAAATATAAGTAATAAATATACATCACACTCCTAACATATAAAAGTTAAAACTGTACAACCTTCGGTACCTTATTTTTCATTTAAATGGCCGTTCCGTTACATACTCTTTCTCTTACGATATCCAAAAGTGGTGAAGAGGTAAAATCCATGTAAATTGAAGTGCCTACTGGTATAGTATCTTGCAAATGCTATCCTACTATCTT